AATGCATGCAACTAACAAAAATGAGTCAACAAAACTATAATGATTTACTAACCGCAGCACCAATGGCGATAAACAGCAACTCAAAGCGTCCATCTCTATCTGTTTTGATATGAGTTACCGACCCAGGATTTTTCAGCTTTAAATTGTGACAATAAGCCGACAGTTGGGCAAACGATGCTTCTGGCGACCCCCTCAACAATTTCAAGGCATAACATTTGGCTCTCCAAGCTTGAGAATATGAGATACTAATCTTGAACCGAGCATTCATGTCAGTCATAATTTCATGTCCTCGGTATACCATTTCATTCAAAAACATTAACTCAGCCAGAAAACCACCCAATACCTTTTTGTTTGCTTGTCTATGGTTAGGAAAAACTTGGGTTCTTGAACATGTATGTTTATCAATAAAAGTCCTAACTTGAAACATTTCGCAATCTTTTATCCTCATCGCAATCATACGCCACGTACAGTTTTTGTCAATCATACACTTTGTTTCGAAATGATCTTTGCTTGATTTGTTAACTTTTAGTTGATAGTCATCTTCCACACATTTCATATACAAAGCTATCTTCAAGTCTTCCTTTGTATCAAAACAATCATCTTTCTTGATACGAATACTTTTGTGAACAATCAACTGCTATATTTACCAACTCTTCTTCTGGTATCTTAAGTAATTCTGGCATATTCCAGTTATACTCCCGTGGCATTTTCTTCTTATTCTTTTCTTCGGGGACTTCTTCTTCTTCTTCTTCTTCTTCAGGGTTATATGAATTACAGAATGGATGTTCAACATGTTCATTCACAGTCGTAACTTCCTCCTCATTATCATCAACAACATCTTCCTCGGCAACGACTGTTTCATCATCAAAATTCAGGTATTGACCAATATCAAAATCATTACATGCAGGGTCTGTTTCTTCTTCTGAAACATCATCAAAATCTGAGTATTGACCAAGATCAAAGTCTGGGTATTGACCAAGATCAAATTTCAAATACTGACTAGTACTCACAATTTTTTCTGTTGGCTCATAATCGTCTAACTGGTCAATACAAAAATCAGAATTTGATGCTGAAAGTTGATTGGGATTTGGATTAGGAAAAGGTTGTGGGTTTTGATATTGTGTTTGGTATTGGAAATGTGGTGAAACAAAATTTTCTTGGTGATGAAATTGTGGTGGAACCATTAAATTTTGAGATTGATAACAACGTTGTACATTGTGAGCACCATAAACTGGGGTTGAAGAACTTAGTTGATTACTACCCGCTACTGACCCAACTTCACTACTTCTAGATTCAACAACATACAATGTAACATCATCTTCTTGCGAAACACTAATGTAAGCAATGAATCGTTCAACATCTTCATTGTCGGTTAACAAATAAACTTTACCTTTTCTCTGATAAGATAGCATAAATCCACTTAGAGGCTCTAAATTCAATTTCTTTGCAACACGTAACATTAGAGTTTCATAAGTTAACTTTTTTAATGACAGTTTTAGTTGAAGATTCATGGGTAAAGACACATATTGTAAAACACCATGAATATTCTCCCATGACCCTCCAAAACACAAATCTATCCAAACATGATCAACATTAGATGATTTCATTCTACAAATTGTAAATTAATTTACTAAACAAAGGAGCTATAAACTACATATCATCACTAACTTAGAGAAAAACATACCTTTATTAAGTTGATAGTTCATAATTTGGGAGAGAAATCATTGAAAAATTATATAGAATAAAATTATGTAAAAAAAAAAATTAGAGATGGGGAAGGATTTCGTTGGATATAGGAACGAATGTCACCGGAGAGAGTGATAGATGGAGATTGAATGAGTTGCGATTTAGGGATTTAGGTTATGAGTTGTTGTTGTTGCGTAGTTATATACCTAAAACATTTGTGTTGCGAAATTAAATTCGGATTGTGAATTTGAAAATCGAGTTGTGAATTTGAAATTCAGTTGCGAATTTGAAGTTCAGTTGCGAATTTGAAATTCAGTGTTGCGAATTTGACTATCGCGTTGCGAATTTGACTTCTGTGTTACGAATTTGACTTTTGTGTTGCGATTTACAAATTCGCGTTGCGATTTACAGATCCGCGTTGCGAATTTGACTTCTGTGTTATGAATTTGACTTCTGTGTTACGATTTACAAATTCGAGTTGCGATTTACAGATTCGCGTTGCGAATTTGGAAAATCGCAACGCGATTTATATATTCGCATTGCAAATTTAGAAACTGGGTTGCGAAATTGGAGTTCGCGTTGCGAATTTGTTGGTCATTTTCGCAAATCCAAAAGAAGTTGGTTAAAATCGTATATTATAAGGCAGTTTCGATCACTGAGGTTATTTTCTCGCAGAACTATGAAGTAAAGTTTGATTTGGTTGGAGCTGGAATTACATCACCTATAGAATTGGTTTTGAAAAAGGGAGACGAGATAATTGTCAAAGATTTATTTTCAAGTAAGTGGATGTATAAAATAGGTTTGGATGGAATTTCAATAAAAAATTTTGACCCTTCAAAATCATCATTGAAATGGATTTCAGATCAAGTTCCAATTAACAACAACTTCACTTGGTACGAGGTAAATAAATAATATATATGATATTTGATTTTCTCTTTCTTTCTTTTTTTTTGAAATTTCAGACAACATTCAAAGCTCCTTTGGGTAATAAACTAGTTGTTGTGGATTTACTCGGTTTAGGAAAGGGCATGGCTTGGGTGAATGGTCATAGTCTTGGTAGATATTGGCCAAGTTATATAGCCAATAAGCAACTTTGCAAGACCAAAGCTTGTGATTATCGTGGCAGATATAGTGATAAAAAAATGTCTTTCCAAGTGTGGTGAACCTACCCAAAGATGGTAACCGAAGTTATATATATATATATATTTTTCGAGGAGATTTTAATTTTCTTTTACTGACTATTGCGATTTTCTTGTGGTTTTAAAGGTACCATGTTCCTCGATCATTTTTTAACGACGATGACAACACGTTGGTTTTGTTGGAAGAATTTGGTGGTAATCCTTCATATGTACAAGTTCATACCGTTGACATTGGATCAACTTGTGTTAATGCTTACGAAGGAGAACATGTGGAATTGTCATGTCATGATTGACCGATTTCAAAGATTGAATTTGCATGTTTCGGTCATCCACAAGGTGTGTGTGGATTGTTTGAGAAAGGTGAATGTATTTAAAAAAAATTGGTTAAACTTTTTTGTTTTTAATTAATAATATTTTTCCCGAAATTTAACAGGAGTGCGTAGGAAAAGAGTCATGTTCATTCGAAGTTTCTCAAGACAATTTCGGAAAAGCTTATTGTGAAGTTAGAAGATTAGCTGCGAAAGTCATTTGTGAAGAATTTACATTTTATTTTATTTTATTTTTGAACTTTTCTATAGTGTAATATTTTATTTTAGGGAAGGAATTTTAGTCAATTTTTCTTATTATTTTGGGAAATTGTACTAGGTTATCATCTTTACTGATAAAAATTATATATACAAGTATTCTTTATTTCCATTCTTGTTATCAAGGCAACTTCGAATTGATGTGGTTGAATATGTAATCGATGCTGTCGCATGAGCTGCATACGTTGTTGTTCAAAGATGAAAAATCGATGCGTTAGCCCAGCTCTGCACTGTTCTAACATGCATCCGACCGATTAACACCTTCGGAGAGTGAGTTAATTGTTCAATTTGGATTGACTCGTCTAGATTGTTGTCTTAGTTGTTGTATGTTGTTCAATTTGTCTGAACCAGTGTTGCCTGCAACATCGTACAAGACCTGTTCATACACAATGCAGTTTGAGGCCGCTACTGAAATGTTAGTGTAACATGCAGTCTCGAGTCCATTGCCTGCTTTTCATTTCATTTTATGTCGAATATTTTCGATATATACATGTACTTGATCAAGTTATCGGTCCCAGACTCTGTATCGTGATTTTCCCGGTACTCATTCCGGTCTTGTCTCGAGTGGACGATGATTACCGGCATCATTAGACCCTTGTCCCCCCCCCCCTTCTTGGAACTATCCATTTTACAGTAACCTTGGACTAAGATTTCCTGTTGAAATAATTAATGAATGTTCCATTTATTTGTTTCGCTGCTGCAGGACCTGCAACCGGTCTTGTCTCGAGTGGACGATGATTACCGGCATCATTAGACCCTTGTCCCCCCCCCCCTTCTTGGAACTATCCATTTTACAGTAACCTTGGACTAAGATTTCCTGTTGAAATAATTAATGAATGTTCCATTTATTTGTTTCGCTGCTGCAGGACCTGCAATTCTTTGCCTGTCCTATTTATGATGTCTCTAAGTTAAGTTTTGATTAACCAAATACAGTATGTATGAAAATTCAAATTATTCTGACTCTTCATCTTCTCTAAAAGGTTTGTGCCCGACACTTGTATTTGACACATTTTCAGACATTAATACAAGATCATAAGATCGGAATACCATTATATTTGAATACTTACCATTATATTTGAATACTAGTATGCATGCATATCGTTTATATATGCATGCTAGTTGACTGCAAAAACTGCTTTCTTCTGTAAGGCAGTTAAGTTCAAAGCAAAGAGGAAGGTGATGCTTGGACCCATGTACCGCTCTTTTGGACAAATCAAGCACTGAACATGCAATTTTACCATCGGATTACATTAGAATACTCAAAAGGATATGATGAACATGATTGATTTCAAACACAGGAGCAAAAGATTGCATGAGCTATGTTCCAAAAAAATGGCAAATATTTTTTAACCTATGTAGTCATTTTCCTCTCAAGCTAGGTCTATTACATGATCTAAAAACTACCTAAATATGTAAGTCATTTCCCTCTCATGCTAGCTTCTCTATCAGAGTTATGGTGGCTAAATTCATCTCCAAGATGCTTGTTCCGCTGGAAAACACATTCTTGAGGCCATATTGTAGCAGTCTACAAGTTGATGAGCATTACTAAATTCCATAAGTTTCCGGGAACTCGGGTAAGCCGCCAAACATTTTCGTTTGCAGTTCATAAGAGCAGATGATATCCGGTAAACAGTATCATCAAAAAGCTCTAGAACAATCAAACTGACATTATTTTGCTAAATATTTTACCAAAGGCCAAAGCCTGAAACCTACACCCCAGATATAGATGTAGATCTAGCAGAGATAAAATACCTTGAAGATCTTGAGTATTCAACGAAAGAATCTCCTCCGACATCGTGCAGACCCTAGCTCCTCATATTCTGCCTTGGTGATACGCATTGATTCGTAGTCGGGACTGGATGCCAAAAGTGAGCCCCCTCGCCACACACCTAGAATTGGACTGAAGCATCCCAAAGAATTTACATGAGAAGAAATAGCTTTCAAAGACGTGTAACATATTAATACCTAATCGAAGGTGAGAGTTTACTCTTCTTGAGTTGTTATGTTGATTTGATAGTCATCTGGAACTAGAGGGCGGAGATCCTTTTCCCTGAGATTTTAGGGATAGAAAATGAGTGTAAATCGAAGTGGACCTAAAAATTGATATTACAACAAGCCGATGTGAAGTGATCAGAGCTTACAGTCTCTCAACAAATCTAGGAAACAATGTGCTGCCACCAGTCAATATTATGCTGTTCAGGAACGAAATTTAAACACTTTTAAGTGGCATGAACAAATAGAAATTGAAAATTTCAGAGGCTTTTTAGCATTGTACTTGAAGAATATTAAACACACCTTTGGTAAAGTACAGGATGGAGATAATGATGGCAAGCATTGACGGCTCGAACAATGCATTCTGCTAGTCCAGCCTCATTCATTCCTGTGAAGAGAAGGGGAATTGGCACCTTGTGTGTATTTATGTATTATGCAAAAAACAAAACAATGGAATCCTTTGAAAACCATAAAGATTATTTCACAACTAGTAAAAGGAGAATATCATACACACCCAAATCTGCAGGTTGGAAGATCATCTCCGGAACAAGAAAACGTTCATTCGTTAAGTCAAATTCCTGTAAAAGGCAGCCAAGGGAATCCTTTGAATATCATTTGAAATGAGCAGGCAAAATCACCCACTTAATAAGAAAGGAAAACACTACATTTTTAGTTAGATCCAGTCTCTTCCTCTCCGACATTCTATCCGTAACCTCCAATTGATCTGATTCTTTCTTTGTTTCTGCAGCTTCTGAAGGAGAGGCCCCATCTGTCAAAGCAAGATGCCTCTTTGCCACTTCGGGGTCTTTAACAAAACCCTTCGTGTGAGTAACCCCATCAGGCAAGACATAAGTACATCTAAAAATATTGTCTTTTCCCCTGTAAAGATTGTCTAGCACCATTTCAAAATAGCAGAAACATATTCCTTATTTCTTTGCAGTGTTTAAAAGTGCACATGGCAAGCAATAACAAGTAACACCATCAGAAAAGATATTAGTACATTTAAAAGGATTGTATGTTCCATGTTTACAGTTAACGCTGTAGCGCGATACCGGTAGTAAAGGAATTGTTGTTATTCCTTGAGGTCCCGATTCAAGCACCAAGAATGTCAGGGACGTGAGCGTTAAATGTCAAATAGTTGAGAGTTATCCTTCAATAGATATTATCTTGTACTTACCCTATATTAATAAAAAAATAGTTAAGGCCATAAATAAGACAGAGTCGAACTCGACTCAAAAAGTTCAAGGCTGAGCTCGACTCGAATTCAAAATCAAAAATTAAAACTTGGCTTAAACTCGAAACATGCTCATACTTAGTTTGGTTGAACTAAAACTCAAGTTCAATTCAAGTTCAAACCTGTACCTTAAGTTCATGAAAACATTATTCTGCATTTAAAAAAACACATTAGGCTTCGGCTTAAAAACTCGAACTGAGTCCATTCAAATCAAGTGTTAAGTTTTGACCGAATCGAAGTTGAATAGCTTGTGATACGTCTCAATATCATTTACAGTCCTATTTACAGGAAAGATATTCAACGCCATTTTAAATTTGCTTAGTTCCTTCCAGTGTTTAAGCATACATTGCAAACAATAATACTAACTTAGGTTTCAAGAAAACACAAAGAAAACATGTATACTATTACATTTTTTCTGGGTATTTACCTGGCAATCTGGAGATCTCTTTCAACATCAAGAGAGACGAAGCAAAGTTTCTCTTTAACATCGTCCATTAGTAAAGTCTCATCCATGACATTAATCGCCCGATACGAAACCAATTCCTTGAGGTAATTAGTCAAAGCTTTCCCACCCAAATCGATTCTCTTCACCCCATAATTCAACGTATAGTTCTGAAACACAGGCGCCACATGCGTGAACGAGAACCCGCAATCCACCACCAAACTACACTGCGCCTGCGAGACCAGCCCGTATGGACGGCGGCTGGTCTCGTAGAGGTGAACGAGGGAAGGCGAATCGGCGACGACGAGAGAGCTGAAGCCGAAGTCCTCGAAGACGAGTTCGTCGGTGGTGCGTTGGATGGAAGTGAGTGTAAAGAGAGGTTCGGTCAAGAGGAGGGAGGAATTGGAAGGGGTGACGTGGAGGACAGAGTTGAATAGGTGGGACCAGATGTCGCGTTGGAGGTCGGGGTTGATGAGGTAGCCGCGGTCGATGGGACGGCGTATGGCGGCGGAGGTGAGATCTTCGGTGGAGGAGGAGAAGGTGGTGGTGGGGTGGAGGAACTTCTTGGAGGAAAGAGGGCGGTAGAGGCAGTTGGGGATAACGACGGCGGGGTTGCGTTCGCCGCCTAGGCCGGCTTTAATGAGGCCACCACCGTTGTCGACTACGACAATGTTGGACATTTTGCGGATTGCTGGAAATGACAAAAGGGTTTGAGAATTTGAGAATTTAGGTTTGAGAGGGGCGAGGGTTGCGAAAATGACAAGTTTTCTCTCTGAAATCTTTGAGGTTTCGAGAGTTTTTAGTTTTAGGCAAAATAGGTTAGTGTTTAGGTTTCTACATGGCAAGAGGGATATTTTAGGCGATTTGACCAAATTAATATATATTTATCGAATATTTATCTTTTTAGCACCGTTTGATATATATTTCCCGAAGTGGCACCCTTTCGGCTGAGCTGGCAAAAGAAACGTCCCCAGGGACGCGCTTTACCCGTGTTTTCGCTGAGTTGGATGCCACGTGTGGAAGGCGCATCCCCGGGGACGCGCCTTCACGGAATTCTGATGACTCGACTGCCACGTGTGGAAGGCGTATCCCTGGGGACGCGCCTTCCATTAAATGCCATAAATGCCATCATCCGTTTTTCTTAACTACCCCTCCTCCTCCCCTATATAAACCCCCTCAACCCTCTCTCATTCTTCACACCAAAATCATATTCTCATCTCTTATATAACTTAAATTCTCTAATTATTTGAGTTTTAAATTTGTTATTAGTGGTAAGAAATTTATTTTTATGTTAGTATTTTTTAAATATTATTTATATTAATATATTTATGTATTATTTTTTTATTAAAATAATATTATATAATTATTATTTATTTAAATTTATTAATTAATTATTTTTTGTGCTAATTACTATTTTTTGTCTACAGTTATAATGGAAAGTGAAATGCTGCTGCGATTGGATGCTGATCATATCTCTAGACATTTTAGCGATATGGTAATATTTTTTTTATAATTAATGTTAATATTTATTGTTATGTTTAATTTAAATTTATTATGAATTTATATTAATTTTAATTTTTTATAATGCAAATTATTTAGGATACTGATCGTATTTTAGAGACTTTTATTAAAAATCCACGTATACCGACACCGGAACATATTTTGCCATATTTGGCTTCTGTCGGGTTCGGGTATATTGCAACAATTATTGGCGGTTGCAAACTCGAACCTGTCCTAATTTCTGCACTGATTCCATACAATTTCTTCACATTTATTCGTAAAAACATCTCGATGCTCATTCCATACAATTTCAATGTCAAAATCAACTTATCACTTCACATTTATTCAATTTATCCATAATATTTTATCTAATTTATTCAAACTTCACATAACGTTTTAATTTAAGTTATGAACTTAAATTAATCTATATGTATAATTTATTCTTAACTTGCCTTTCAAAAAGTTAATTTTGGTTATAATTTACCTGATTTCACAATCCATCTAGTGTCCCCGAGGGACATGAGTGACATAATAAGGCAATGATAACATATTCTCTGACAAAATAATGGAAGGCACGCCCCCGGGAACGCGCCTTCAAGTCCCTTGAGAAATAATAGGTAATGATATGAATAGTGTCCCCGAGGGACATGAGTGACATAATAGGGCAATGATAACATATTCTCTGACAAAATAATGGAAGGCGCCCCCCCGGGAATGCGCCTTCAAGTCCCCTGAGAAATAATAGGTAATGATATGAATAGTGTCCCCGAGGGACATGAGTGACATAATAGGACAATGATAACATATTCTCTGACAAAATAATGGAAGGCGCGCCCCCGGGAACATTCCTTCAAGTCCCCTGAGAAATAATAGGTAATGATATGAGTGTCCCCGAGGGACTGAGTGACATAATAGGGCAATAATAACATATCTCTGACAAAATAATGGAAGGCGCGCCCTCGGGAATGTGCCTTCAAGTCCCCTGAGAATAATAGGTAATGATTGAATAGTGTCCCCGAGGGACATGAGTGACATAATAGGGCAATGATAACATATTCTCTGACAAAATAATGGAAGGCGCGCCCCCGGGAACGCGCCTTCAAGTCTCCTTAGAAATAATAGGTAATGATATAAATAGTGTCCCCGAGGGACATAAGTGACATAATAGAGCAATGATAACATATTCTCTGAAAAAATAATGGAAGGCGCGCCCTCGGGAACGTGCCTTCAAGTCCCCTGAGAAATAATAGGTAATGATATGAATAGTGTCTCCGAGGGACATGAGTGACATAATAGGGCAATGATAACATATTCTCTGACAAAATAATGGAAGGCGCGCCCCCGGGAACGCGCCTTCAAGTCCCATGAAAATAATAGGTAATGATATGAATAGTGTCCCGAGGGACATGAGTGACATAATAGGGCAATGATAACATATTCTGACAAATAATGGAAGGCGCGCCCCCGGGAACGCGCCTTCAAGTCTCCTGAGAAATAATAGGTAATGATATGAATAGTGTGCATGAGGGACATGAGTGACATAATAGGGCAATGATAACATATTCTCTGACAAAATAATGGAAGGCGCGCCCCCGGGAACGCGCCTTCAAGTCCCCTGAGAAATAATAGGTAATGATATGAATAGTGTCCCCGAGGGACATGAGTGACATAATAGGGCAATGATAACATATTCTCTACAATATAATGGAAGGCGCGCCCCCGTGAATGCGCCTTCATGTGAATAGTACTCCGATTATAGACACTGTTATATGCAACATATTATAAACTTTCAAAACAAACTTCAGTTCACAAGCTTTCAAATTCTCAAATTCCCAAACTCTAAATTCTCAAATTCTCTGAAAATGAGTCATCTTCTGCTGTTGTTTTGTATATGGAGAAATTAAGGAAGCTGAAGAGGGGGTTGTTTTTGAGTCAGATCATTATATCCCCTTAACCTTGAAGAGAACATCACAATTGAGGAGTTAATCACAAAAATTTCGTTAAAGATTCGTGTAGCAGGCCAGAGAACTATCTTCACTTCACAAATTTCCTACTGAACTTTTTCCGCTCACGTATATATCATTTCAGCTTTCAAACGATGATGTTTTCTATGATGGTTGATGCTCATATGGGGAGTTCACAATCTCTTATTGAAATGTATGCCACTTTTATTGAGGTTCGTGTAACTCGTGGTCTCTCATATTCCTCTCACTTTGGCATTGCATATCAAGCTGATCAAGTTGATAGCCCGACACAACTGATCTGTAATGATTTCACATCATTAATGGCGGATCCAACTCCAGATACCATGCCATCAAGTTCAATAGGAAGGCATTCATCTGCAACTGCTTATGATCTCAACCCACGTGGCTTCACCAATAATAATCCATATGGCAACATCTCTTCTACTTCAAGGGGCAGACATTCATCTGCCAATGTTTTCGACTTACATATGGAAATGCCAACGAGACGACAGTCTATTAACATCCCACATGATACAATGGCCTCAAGTTCAAGGGGAGGACATGCAAGCGGGAACTTATTTGACCTCAACATTGGATTATCGGAGGAACCCTCATCTCCACCAGAAGAACCTCTTCGGGAGCCAGGTGCAGATGGTGCTGAAACGGGATTATTCGTTGAACCTGACTCACCACAGTTTAACGTACATTCTGATGATGATGAGGATGACGTTCTGATAAATACAACACCAGCCGAACTTCCTGCACATATGTATGAGGCTGATTATGATGCAATGTATAAGCCTGAATTTCCAGATCTTCCTGATGTTGGCAACTATGGACTTCAATCATTAGTCAATGACGGTAATTTACATATTGGAATGGAGTTCGCATCGAATGAGGAAGCAATGATGGCAATAAAGAGTTACAATATTCTTAACTCGGTTAAGTCCCGAGTTGATCGATCTAAAACGGAGAAATATGTCTGCTACTGCGTCCAACGTGACAACGGATGTCAATGGATGGTCCGTGTATCAAAGAGGAAGAGGAAGAACAACTTATGGGAACTAACCAGATACAACGGTCCTCATACATGTTGTGCAACAGGTATAAACCAGGATCATCCCAACTTGGACTCCAACATTATTTGCCAAGCAATCATGCCCATTGTGAAGCAAAGCTCTCATATAGCTGTTGCAGTGTTGATTTCTGCTATACAGTCACAATATGTGTACACTGTCTCATATAAAAAAGCGTGGTTGGCAAAACAGAATGCCATTTGCAAACTTCATGGCGAATGGGATTCCTCTTACAACGAGCTGCCCAGTTGGTTTAATGTTGTGCAAAGACTTAATCCCGGGACAATTATTGAGTTCGAAACTCAACATCATTACGTGAATGATCGAATGGTTCGCGATCGCTGCCAATTGTCCAAATTGATGGTACTTTCTTGTATGGGAAATACAAGCAAGTTTTATTATTGGTTGTGGTCCAAGATGGAAACCGCAATATTCTTCCTGTTGCGTTTGCCCTCGTTCAAGGAGAAGACACTGAGTCTTGGGCTTTTTTCCTTAAAAATTTACGTTTACATGTTGTCACCACGGAACGAGTATGCATTATTTCAGACCGAGGAGCCGGGATAAAAGCAGCAATGGACTCTTTGGGTACAATGTATAGACCTCCACATGTTCAACATCGTTATTGTGTCCTTCATATTGCTGCAAACTATTACGGAAAAATACAAGAAGAACGGTGAACGTCAATTAGTCGTGCGGATGGGTATGTTACTTTTTCCCAATTTTTCTATCAATTTCTTATTACTTATTTATACTTCATATTAACTATTACATATTCCTAATGACTTAGGTTATGAACTCTTACCTCAAAGGTTTGAGTCGATGCTACAAGAGTTGTTTGGCAAAAATAAGAAGGGGTGCGAGTACATTATGGACATCAGCAAAGAAATGTGGACAAATGCATATGACGGGGGTATCGCTATGGTCATATGACAACAAACGTGGCTGAAGTAATAAATTCAACCTTAAAGGGGGCGCGTCATTTACCAGTCATAGCGTTGGTTAAAACGACTTATTTTCGTTTGGGTCAACTCTTTGCAAAGCTCGGTGGACAAGCTCTTACTTGGATGCAAAACGGCCATATTTACCACCCAAAACTAGTAGTTGATTTACAGAAAAAAGTGGTTGCATCAAATGGGATGTTAGTTACAAATTTTTCTCACACCCGTGAATTGTTTCGTGTAACCGAAATGCCACGTCCGCTGCAAGGGATTGGAGCTAACTCTTTC